ACACTTCAACTGTGAGAGACAGAATGTGAAAAAAAAATCCATGAATTCACATGGCAGGATTTTTAAAGAATTTATTCGTAAATCAGGGTGGAAAATAAGTATTTGGTCACTTCAAACAAGGAAAATCTCTGGCTCTCACAGACCTGTAACGTCTTCTTTAAGAAGCTTTTCTGTCCTCCACTCGTTACCTGTATTAATGGCACCTGTTTGAACTCATTATCTGTATAAAAGACACCTGTCCACAGCCTCAAACAGTCAGACTCCAAACTCCACTATGGCCAAGACCAAAGAGCTTTCGAAGGACACCAGGAAAAGAGTTGTAGACCTGCACCAGACTGGGCAGAGTGAATCTACAATAGGCAAGCAGCCTTGTGTGAAAAAATCAACTGTGGGAGCAATTATCAGAAAATTGAAGACATACAAGACCACTGATAATCTCTCTCGATCTGGGGCTCCACGCAAGATCTCATCCCGTGGGGTCAAAATGATCATGAGAACGGTGAGCAAGAATCCCAGAACCACACGGGGGGACCTGGTGAATGACCTGCAGAGAGCTGGGACCACAGTAACAAAGGTCACCATCAGTAACACACAACGGCAGGGAATCAAATCCTGCAGTGCCAGACGTGTTCCGCTGCTGAAGCCAGTGCATGTCCAGGCCCGTCTGAAGTTTGCCAGAGAGCACATGGATGATACAGCAGGGGATTGGGAGAATGTCATGTGGTCAGATGAAACCAAAGTAGAACTTTTTGGTATAAACTCAACTCGTCGTGTTCGGAGGAAGAAGAATACTGAGTTGCATCCCAAGAACACCATACCTACTGTGAAGCATGGGGGTGGGAACATCATGCTTTGGGGCTGTTTTTCTGCTAAGGGGACAGGACGACTGATCCGTGTTAAGGACAGAATGAATGGGGCCATGTATCGTGAGATTCTGAACCAAAACCTCCTTCCATCAGTGAGAGCTTTGAAGATGAAACATGGCTGGGTCTTCCAACACGACAATGATCCCAAACACACCGCCCGGGCAACAAAGGAGTGGCTCCGTAAGAAGCATTTGAAAGTCCTGGAGTGGCCTAGCCAGTCTCCAGACCTCAACCCCATAGAAAATCTGTGGAGGGAGTTGAAAGTCCGTGTTGCTCGGCGACAGCCCCAAAACATCACTGCTCTCGAGAAGATCTGCATGGAGGAATGGGCCAAAATACCAGCTACTGTGTGTGCAAACCTGGTAAAGACCTATAGTAATTGTTTGACCTCTGTTATTGCCAACAAAGGTTATGTTACAAAGTACTGAGTTGAATTTTTGTTATTGACCAAATACTTATTTTCCACCCTGATTTACGAATAAATTCTTTAAAAATCCTACCATTTGAATTCATGGATTTTTTTTCACATTCTGTCTCTCACAGTTGAAGTGTACCTATGATGAAAATTACTGACCTCTGTCATCATTTTAAGTGGGAGAACTTGCACAATCGGTGGCTGACTAAATACTTTTTTACCCACTGTACAAATATACAGTAGATAGATAGATAGATAGATAGATAGATAGATAGATAGATAGATAGATAGATAGATAGATAGATAGATAGATAGATAGATAGATAGATAGATAGATAGATAGATAGATAGATAGATAGATAGATAGATAGATAGATAGATAGATAGATAGATAGATAGATAGATAGATAGATAGATAGATAGATAGATAGATAGATAGATAGATAGATAGATAGATAGATAGATAGATAGATAGATAGATAGATAGATAGATAGATAGATAGATAGATAGATAGATAGATAGATAGATAGATAGATAGATAGATAGATAGATAGATAGATAGATAGATAGATAGATAGATAGATAGATAGATAGATAGATAGATAGATAGATAGATAGATAGATAGATAGATAGATAGATAGATAGATAGATAGATAGATAGATAGATAGATAGATAGATAGATAGATAGATAGATAGATAGATAGATAGATAGATAGATAGATAGATAGATAGATAGATAGATAGATAGATAGATAGATATGTAATAAGATCCAGGACAAAAAGTGGGAATTAGGAATTTCAGAAAGTTGTTTTATTTTATTTTTAACTCGCCAAGTTCCTTAAAGTTCAGATTTTGAAGCTGCAGATCTTAAAAAAAAGCAGCAAAAGCGAGGCAGGCTCAAAATAACACGGCTGCTTTAAAGCACACGTCAACTCCAAAAAGAAAAACACCGTTAATATTCTGTGCATTTTGTCGGATCAGCAAAATATCCGACACACAAACTGCAAGATGGTGTTTATATTGTGCTGTTAATAATTCATGTACGAGTACTTTCAGGCATGTACATAAAAGGGAAATGAGGAGTTCAAAGATTCAAATTTCACAGGGAGAATGATTCTCTGATTTGTAAAAAAAAAAAATGTAAATCCATAAAGAGACATCAGAAGCAGGAGACAGGATATGAGCGCTGAGCCCCTGCTGTTATTTTATACATGAAAAGGTTTTCTTTTCCCGGAGAAATTCTGCACAGTTGTAGCCTTAGAGCTGAACTTCTGCTCGTTTCCCTGAGAATCCTAAGAAGCAGCAATCAGAGGGAGATGAAAGTTCAGGTTTAACACATTTGATGCCAATTTGCTTCTGTCACGCCCCTCTAAGGGGAAGTCAGAGTGCAACTACTAATTCCAGATAAGCTAGCATTTTCCCCCAGCGTTAGGGTCCATTATTAGACTCATCCATGTCAGTACTGAATATCCCCTGGATGGAGAAATCAATTTTAGGGTTTCGGCTATGGGATGTTTAACCTACTGCTGGATAAATGATCTCCATCATGCATTTATCCACACAATCCTCAGTCTCTCCTTTTCACTTACAGCTGCATGAGGGTACGCGGGCGACGCCTGCTTGCCATCTTTTAGCACTTTAGCTGAATGCTGATGTGAGCGCGTTGGTGTCTGTGTTTGTGTGTCTGAGGCCGACATGGCCTTAAAGACAGGTGTGGGTGTCTGACGTTTCAATAACCCATGTCAACGACCTTTAGCTCTTCATCCACGAGTGGGACAGATCATGAATGAATGAATGGATGAGGAGAGAAAGACGCTGTGAAGAAACACCCTGTAGACACTTGACCATTTGAACCCTTCTGTGGTCAAACTGGACAACCTTCCTTCTTCCAGAAAAATAAAAATGATCTATTACTTTATTCCCTCATTATTGTTAATCTGTTATTTCTTATTGAGCTGGTGTCTGACTGCAGCAGTCATCAGGTGAGAGACAGGGGACAACATGGACAGGTGTCCATCACAGTGATAAACAACCAATCACACACAGTCACAACTACTCTAGGGACAATCTAGAGACTCAAATTCACCTGACATGCGTGTTTTTGTACTGGAAACCAGAGTACTCGAGTACCTGGACAAAACCCAAGCATGCATATGCACATTTATCCGACTGAAACGTTGCCCACATCACAGCTGAGCGTAGGACAGCAGGTTTTGGACTTTTATTGCTTGATATTTGGAAATCTCACTCTTGATTGGTGTGGTGAAGTTGCTAATGGTTAGCTTAGCTGTTAAAACAACAACAGCCTTCTCTGTCGTGGGTCAATATGGGTGAGTCCATGAACGCTAATTCACAGCGCGACGTAGATCTGTCAGGCTTTTCTAATCCTAGAGTATCCATCCATCCATTGTCATCCGCTTATCCAGAGTTGGGTCACGGGGGCAGCAGCCTAAGTCGAGAGGCCCAGACTTCCCTCTCCCCAGCCACTTGGGCCAGCTCCTCCGGGGGAATCCTAAGGCATTCCCAGGCTAAGTGAGAGACATAGTCCCTCCACCGTGTCCTGGGTCTTCCTCCTCCCGGTTGGACGTGCCCAGAAAACCTCACCAGGGAGGTCCAGGAGGCATCCTGACCAGATGCCCGAGTCACCTCAACTGGCTCCTCTCGATGTGGAGGAGCAGCGGGTCTACTCCGAGCCCCTCCCGAATGACCAAGCTTCTCACCCTATCTCTAAGGGAGAGCCCAGCCACTCTTCGGAGAAAACTCATTTCAGCCGCTTGTATCCGCCGTGATCTCGTTCTTCCGGTCACTACCCAAAGCTCATGACCATAGGTGAGGGTAGGAACGTAGATCAACCGGTAAATCGAGAGCTTCGCCTTCTGACTCAGCTCTCTCTTCACCACGACAGACCGGTACAACGCCTGCATCACTGCAGATGCAGCACCAATCCGCCTATCGATCTCACGCTCCAGTTTCCCCTCACTCGTGAACAAGACCCCGAGATACTTAAACTCCTCCACTTGGGGCAGGACCTCACCCCTGACACGGAGAAGTCATTCTACCCTTTTCCGAATATATCCTAGAGTATCACCGTCTATTTTCTATCAGAAACTAAAGCAGGAGATAGGTGTAGGAGACTTTTCATGTTCAACCTGCATGAAGCAGTCAGTGACCGATTATAATCAGAAATAATCATAAAAATATGGGGTTTTAGTCTTCCACACCTTTAAAAACAAATATTTATTTTGAAAAATCTTTTTAAAAGATGCAAACATCTCAGTTATTTCTATGTATCATGAGTAGTGTGGGAGTGGCTGAAACCAGAAAAATATGATTAAAAAATGTATTTATCATGCTGATTGGGGAAATGTTTCTGCTAACCCTGCACAGTCACTTCATTAAGTGAACAATTAAATAATTAAGTCATATTTTAAATGTTTATCGTTTAGCAGAGTCTGTAAATGTTGAAAACAGTAATTTGTTACACGAGACCACATCATGGAGACAGTAAGCTCCGATTTCATACAAGACTCTAAAAATGTCCAGCTGGGCGAGTGTTTTCAGACAGATATTGATCAGATGCTGGTTTCAGGTTGAAGATATTTAAACCTAGACACCATCCAGGCTGCACCATGCAGAAGGCATCTTGTGACCACCAAGGAGCTGAGTTGAGGCGTTTTATGCAGGAAGTTACGAATGATCTCGGAAGAGGTCTAACCTGTCCAGCCAGGCCAGCAGGCTCTTGGCGGCGGTGATGAGGTCAACCACTGAGGTCAGAAGATCGTTGGGGAGCCGCCGTGAGCTCCTGCTCTCTAACTGGCTGCTCCGGCGGCGGCTGGAGATGAAGTTCTGAAGGTTCTTAGCCGAGGCGCCGAGCTTATGAGCCAGAGTCCTGACGCTCTCCGTCTCCAGACCCGAATTCTACGCGGACAGAAACAGAGACCGTGAATGCAAATCACTTTGACACCTTCCTCTGAAGGATGCTTTAATCATTTGTGCTAAAATAAAAATAGAGGCAATAAAAGACGTGACTGGCATCATGAATATGAATGAATCACAATGACTAAAATGGTTTGAATGATTAAAGAGCGCTGAGCAAGAGCCCAAATGATTAAGATGACATTTATCTAGACTTTTTCTGGCTTTTTAGAACAAATATTTGTAAGCAGGCGGCCTGCGGGTTGCTTAGTAACACGACTGATTCATTCACGTCTAACCCCGTTTAAAACGAGGTCGTTTGCCCACACTTTGCTGTAGTGACCGCTAGGAAACTCAGAAACACTTCATGCAGGATTCTTGGTGCTCCAGCAGGAGAAGCTGCAGCTTTGACCCAACCTCACCAGAGCACACAGCAAGTCCACGGCCTCCAGAATCAGCTCCTGGTGTCCGATACGAGAAACGCCCAGCTCCTCCAGCTCAGCGTGGCTGATCCTCAGCAGCCGCTCGCCGCACACACCCGCACGCTCAAACACGCTCACGTACTGCTGCAGGCAGTCGTCCAGACCTGCAAAGACGCACATGTCAAAGATAAGTCACAACAAGCTGTTCTGGAGGGAGCTAAAGATAGAACTATGAGGTTATTACTGGTTCTAGAAAGCTCTAAACAGCCTCTGTTTGCAGAAATAGAAACTAGTTATGCAGGAGGGCTGAAAAGTGGCTTTGGTGGTCACATCCCCAGAATCCAGAACTGGCTTCTCTGCCCCTTCTTCACAATTTCTCCAAACTGAGGTTGTTCAAAGGGCTTTAAGGAAATGACCTCAGAAGATCTGAAGTCAAACAGCTCCTAGCAGCAGACGGTTGAAAAGGGGTTTCACAATGATGAAAGGAACAAATCCTGATGGCTGACGCAAAGCAGGCGTGTGCTGATTAGAGCCCGCAGAAAACAGAGGGCTGACGAAATAAGACGCACTTTAAAAGTCTCTTGTGGGAGTTTTAATTAAAATTCTAAAAAAGTACAAATAAAAATATTCATGTTAACATGTAATGGAAGAAATCTTTAAAAAGGTGAAATTAACAGAAAATAACTTAAAGATAAACTAAAATTTGCACATTTTTGCCAAAAAATATGTTCAATTAAACCATTTAAATGATGCACATGATTAGATTTTAAATTATTAATTTAAAGTTACTTTTACACATTTTAAAATCTTTTAACAGCAGGTTTAACTTTTCTTAGAGGTTGTTATCATTTGTACCTTATAACTGAGGACAAATCTGGGGACTTTGAAATAAAAAGTCAACTATTTTCTATTACCTAAATATTAATATATTACTTTACATTATTAATAGAAATCTGGTATAAATAAGATAAAGCAATAGTCATCGTGTTTTTTTTTCTTGACATAGAAGTTAAAGGGTTAAAAATGTGTTTGATGAACAACTTTTTTCAAAGATCTTCATCATGATTTTCTATTTTTGTCCATTGTGTTGCTTGAATAATTAAACAGAAACATGACTACGTGGTAAAATTACCTCCAGTGTGTCTTTACCCAGTTTATCTCATGTACCATTATACAGTTTAACACATGTGAAACCAGTGGCGGCTCCAGAAATGTTTTTCTGCAGGTCTTTTTATTGAGGGTGCTATGAAGGAAGTGGTCATGTGTACCTATTGTTCTCTAAAACACCTTCAACACTAGCAGATACACATGCGTGCTCAAAACCTCAACAACGCCTGAAACAATCATTAATATACATCATAAACATATGAACAATCGCTGACTTTTCCATGAAATCATAAACACACACAGCCACACAGAAAACCATCTATAGTGTTGCAAGGTTAGCTAACGTTAGTGTTAGCATTTCCAGCGGCAAAACCCTCGACTGCTGCGGCGGATGAGGGTTGACTCTCTTCATCCAGATCCGTAGGTTTTTGTGGGTCTGAGATCACTTCCAAAGACTTATTCGTTTCTGACTGAACCTGTGGAAATTTGGGTAACAAAAACCGATCCATTTTACCACTAGCTCTACCTTTCACTCGTTCGCAGGTGGAAAATGAGGTCAAAGGTTAACATCAATTTCCTGTTTTGGTTTAAGTTTTTACTATCTATGATAATTTACTGATTGTTTTTGTTTTTATGTTAAATATTATTACATCCACACGTTCAATTAAAATTAAATTGTAAAAAAAAATCTAATATTTACTTGGGGGTGCAATGACTAATCCAGGGGTAGCTATAGCGCCCCCTAGCGCCTCCCTGGCGCCGCCACTGTGTGAGACATTTTGGAAAAATGACGTGGAAATGTTTATTTCTTAAAGTGGGGCTTTCAGTTTATGTGGGTTACACAGAGAAATAAAAATAAATTACATTAATGATCTTTACCGTCTAGTGTGTTTGTGCCTGAAAGCATTTAGCTTTAACTAAAAATATATTAAAATTATTTAAAAAAAATAAAAAATATCATGATTGTATTTCTTTTTGCTGTTTTATAGTCTGAAAGTTAAAAAGTTCCCAGCCTGTGATCAAATATTCACGCCTAACATAGATCGGTCTGATTAGATGGCTTGAGGTGATGAGCCACGAGTCACTGAGACTCGTCTCAGCACCTATTTGACTCTTCATCCTGTTAATTCCACTAATCAATGACCACACATTGGTCTGGTTGAGATTACATGTTTCAGAATCTTTAATCAGATCCTGTTATCACCCACCGCCATGGGCGGTTTCTTTCATCGGAGCGCCTGCAGGGAGGACGGATGGACCTGAGCTGCTTCTTTTTCCTGTTTACTGGGTAATGCAACAGCTGCTGCGTCGTGTTGTTCTAGACGTTTCTGTTTGCTTGCAGTTATGCACATATTGGCTCTTTCAAACCTGCTGCATTATTAGATGAAAGAAAACACCAACTGTGTTTTATTAGATCCCTGAAAGGAATCGGAGGAGTGAGTTACTTTGAGGCATGTTTCAAAAACAGCAAACAAATGCAGCTGCGCAGCTGCTGTTGCAGCAGATTATTGCCACAAATTATCCTCAAACTATTTCTCATTTAAAGCAGTTATAGTGAATTTGCAAACAAGCCAGGGGCATTCACCACTCCCCTCGGGCGTCTTCCGTGAGATGCTTCTACTGGAACCAGAAACCCGCGATGTGAAAGAAACGAGATAGCGCTAAACACCAGTTGCTGTTTTCTAGGTCCAAACGTTTTTTTGTTTTTCGTGACATCAAATTGTGTTTTTCTTTTTGGGACTCTGTCCTAAAGCTGAAGTGGTAGCAGCCGGCTGTTTCTCCTTCTCTGGTATTATTGAGTGGAGAACATCTCACACCAGTGGTGTTCTGCTGCTAAATGCATGAGTGTGTAATGAGTAGAGTACCCAGGTAAGTGCAGCGGTTCGATGAGACCGACAGCCGGATGGTCCAGTCGTTGGCCTTCGGCCTAAAACATGTTCCTGGTGGAGGTTTTTAGACAAATTACCTCCACAGTATATTTATAGCTATAATATTTTAGAACTGTGTTAACTCATTCACTGCCAATGATGATTTAAGTCGTCATTTGCATTTTTTTACTGTGTGGGCGTTGGACGAGCCCCCGCACTGTGAAAACAAACATCTCAGCTCTAAAGCCGATCTTCATCTGCATACGTCACACGACACGTGATCAGGAAGCAGAACATCCATGTGTTAGGAGATCGTTTTGGGCCGCTGCTGTAAAAAAGTGAGGCGCAAACCGGAAAACCTTCTGCCAATCACAATTCAATAACGGATTATGAAAGAACGGATAACGCTCCAGGAGTACGGGGTGGGTGGCTTTATGTTAAGGGCCATTCAGTCCCTTTACTAGAGGAGCATGAGTTTGGTCCGCATAGCCGGTAGTAAGTCGGATCTGTTCCCGGTGAGGGTTGGACTCCGCCAGGGCTGCCCTTTGTCACCGGTTCTGTTCATTACCTTTATGGACAGAATTTCTAGGCGCAGCCGTGGTGTGGAGTGTGTCGAGTTTGGTGGCAGGAGAATCTCATCTGCGTTTTGCAGATGATGTGGTCCTCCTAGCTTCATCCAGCTCTGACCTTCAGCTCTTGCTGGGTAGGTTCGTGGCCGAGTGTGAAGCGGCTGGGATGAGAATCAGCACCTCTAAATCTGAGACCATGGTTCTCGACTGGGAAAGGGTGGCTTGCCAACTCCGGGTCGGGAGAGAAGTCCTACATCAAGTGGAGGAGTTTAAGTATCTCGGGGTCTTGTTCACGAGTGAGGGTAGGAGGGATCGGAAGATCGACAGACTTTGGCAGAGATTCATTCATTGGCACAAAAAATGGATGCCATCAAGGAGAGAGTGGACGAATCAGCACAGATTGGGATAGATTAATGTCCATTATTGGTATTTTGAGAGGTTGAGGACCAACAAACTGTAAGACAGAGAGGAAATTATCTCTGTCTGGCCCCAAAACCATTTCTAATCGGAATCTGGCGCCCTTGAGCCTGCAAGGCTCCAACGAAAACTACCCCCTCAGAAGATATGTGGAATGTGCCGTCGCTATGGCAACTCAACTCTGTATCCTTTCCCAGCCTGGGCGGGACTGGGGGAAGGCCGCTGAAACGTTCCAGGGTCACTGCAACCCTCCAACCCTCAATGCTCCTCTCCCTATCCACACTGAGGTGACATGCGCTGCTTATCGTGGCTGCAGGAACTGAAGTAGGGATAGTCCCAACCCACCACCCCACCTAGTGGACACTTATGTTGTGTTATCTGAAGTCTGTTGCATATCTGTCTGAGGTGTTTTTTTGCAGAGCAATGCTGCCCTCCTGGTGGGAGGGTAACTTGGAAGTGCCTTTTTTCCCTCAACCTGAACCAATCCTCATGTAACCCTCTTATCTCTATTAAGGTAGCGTGACTCAGGGTTGCGAATGACCACAGTCACCAATTCTTGTCATGTGTCTTGCCCGTGTATGACTGATCTCTGAATTGTGTGTACTGAAACTCTAATTTCCCTCTGGGATTAATGAAGTATCTTTGATTTGATTTGATTTGATTTGATTTGATTTGATTTGACCCGGACCCGGATAAGCGGAGGAAGACGATGACGACGACGGATAACGCTCGAAACGCGCGGATTCTTCCTGATGTAAGAGGTGAGTCTCCCCTTTGTTTTGGTAGCTTTGGCGTCGACATCATCCTAGCACGCAACGTTCTGTGACTCTTAAAAAAACAGTAAAAACGGCGAGAAACGCTGGCATGAAAAATGTTTTAAGATAATTTGTTTTCCAAATTTGCCGTTGCAGCTTTAACAGTACCTGGATGGGGTATCAGGATTAGTACCTTCATCACAGCGCTATAGCACTGTTAGCTGTCTGTTAGCTTGGCAAGACCCTCCTCCTTACCTACTGCTCTGCCAGACATGACCTAGTCTGTGAATAATAAACTTCATGATAAATGACCCGCACTTGTATAGCGCCTTTCTCCGAGTCTCAGAGTCAGAGGACTCCAAAGTGCTTCACACTGCAGTGTATCATTCATTCATTCATTCATTCATTCATTCATTCACACGCTGGTGGTGATGAGCTACACTGCAGC